ACATAAACAAGATCTTGAAGAATTTCTCACCTATGTGCCTTGGTTGTGGTAGGTAAGGAAATGAGAAAATATTCTCAGTCAAGAAATCATTGCTGTGAGACAGTGAGAAAGATTTTTCATTTGGTGAATTTCGTAGTGTATCAGTTATCAAATTTTGCTGTTTCTTGTAGTAACTTGAACAAGCAAGTATGAAATGTTTTCTGAAATAGCTTTTTTTTGTTTTTATAGCAATTACGTTCTAATAAACCATGAATAACATCACTATTTTCTTTTATTTCTTATTTTCAGGCGTTTTGAATCAATTGTGAATAAGGTTTGTTTATCACAATACCTGAAAACTCTGACTTCACTTTTTTGAAAAATGAAATTGTCTTTCCTTTTACTCCCGATCAACAATCAAATATCTTTTCTTGAATTATGAATAATACAAATAGATAGAAATATTTAATTAAATTATCTCAAACAAACCTTCATTTCAGTGTAATATTGGAATTAGCTTGAATTATTCATAACCTCTGAATAGTGGGTGACCCAATGGGTCATGGGTGGTCTAGTCTCACTTAAAGCTTTCCAATGGAAAAGGTTTGCTATGGAGCTATTAGACTTTGTAGTCCATAGAGACTTTAACTTATAAAATTCAACCCTGATAAAAACTTATCAATATTATTGTAATAAAAGAACGCATCGTTTGTAGCAGTCATTGTAAAACTAGAGTAAACGGGACAAATGATCATAATTCTACATGTTACAGAGTTTAAAGACTTTTGACAGTTTGTTCCATTTACTGTGGTTTCCAACTGACTATCAAAATTAATTTCACATACTTGAAACATTTATGCCATACAGCTGCGGGTGACAAAAACAGTGGCCCCCCAGTGGCACAGCGATATGTCTGCGGACTTACAACGCTAGAATCCGGGTTTCGATACCCGTGGTGGGCAGAGCACAGATAGCCCATTGTGTAGCTTTGTGCTTAATTACAAACAAACAAACAAGAACAGTGAAGTGCGCCCCCTATGTGACAGTCTTTAACAAAACAATATGATAACGAACACTTCTCAAGTATATTTTGACAGCTGTCACCAGTTGTATCGCCTTGAAATACACAGTGGGAAAGAGAACCAAAAAGTAGTATTATTTGGTAGTAATGACATCAATAAGCTGTAAAGACTCGTTAATTTATAGTCTGGTGTATTTGTAATAATGTTTGTATAGTAATACTTTACAGCCCATAATGATTTACATATTAACATTAATCAATCTGTACACGTACATTTGAAAAAGTAACATTATTAAACCCTTTGTTCATTCCGAAAATATAACATGAACTCACATGGTAACTGTGTTATCCAAACCAGTCTGCTGAAATATCTAATAAAGATTTTATCTTTCATTGTTTTTGTTTTTTATTCTTAATAAATACATATGTGTTTAAAGAGGTCGTAGATATATATATAGGAAGGTAACGTTTGAAGAACATACATTTATCGTTATGTCTACTAACTTTTTCGTTGACAGATTTTCCGCAAACATCGAATTTCCAGTTCTTATCATCCCTCAAAGATATCTTTGACCAATCAACTTGCTTCCCACTATCAAATTCAGTTTTTAGAAATTTATTAAGAGTAGAAAAAAAAAGAAGTCCTATTTCATAACTTCATTCTGCACTTAGAATAAGAAAGTAACACATCTTTCTTGATAAAACGTTTAAGTGTTAAAAGAAATTTTTAGAAGTCATAATAACGCACTCTTTAGTTATGAAATTTTATTAAACCTACTTTTACAGTAAGTCAAATAAATGACAGTTTAACTCATCGTCATTGATCATGATCAAAGACTAAAAAATGTAATAAACGGCTAGGCTTTGTTGATATTTATCAAAAATCTTTGAAAGCAACATTAGTTGTTAGGGTATTACCCCAGTACTAAAAGGATGCCGCCTCAGGGGGTGCCTGGTAATAAGGAGGAACAGAAGGGGTAGAGACAATGATGACGCGTTGCTAGGCCACCATGACAGGCAGACATAACGTCCTAGTTCAACGAAGTGGATCAACGCGTCTCAAGATGGCTAGGTTTAAAACACGAAGTCATAAGTTCAATATTGAATTACATTTCTTGATCATTTCTATGTAAATCGTCGTGAAAAAAGACGCATATTTAAAATTCATGCAATGATTTAAAATTTACTGTTTCACTAGTTTGACTTTATGATATCCATATAACCTGGCAAAATAATTCATTTACACATGTTACTTTATAGTTTTATCTTACACGAGTTATACAAGGGTAGACACTTTGCTTCTACATATGATTACGTCATCAATGTCCAGATTTAATTATGTCAAAACCAGTATTTTAACAACAATCTTATTGTACATAGATTTTAACAAATCTGCTGTTATCCATTATTTGAATGAGATTACAAATTACGTTTTTTTTTTTTTGAATTACATATGTTGTATTTATCTACATTACATGTATTTTACAAAGGTGGGCAATGTTGCTAAGGGTTATATACAGTTTTTAACTTACATATAATTGCGTACGTTTCATAAAGATGTTTTTATGTTTCCGTAGAACAGTATGCAGCATATAGACGTTCTTTTCATTTCCATCTGTGGTTCATTAACACCATGGAGATATTTCACTCTGACATGTTCAGTCTATCTAACTTTCAAAACACATGACCTGCAAACTTTCTATACACATATAACGAAGGTTTCACTAACTTTAATTTTAACATCTAGTTAATAAACTCTGTAGTAAATCATTTTGCTACATAATACATGTGATTTATCGCTATTATAGAATAACAATACTTACCATTTTTCACAAATCTTTGAGGACTGAACTGTCTTGGACACACGTCGACAACTATAATAAGTATAATATAAAATACTGTCCACAGAGAGAGAGGGATAAACGAATATGGTCCTTACAGTATTGTTGTTGTAAGTTTAGGTTCGACAGTTTTCTTGGTGATTTTCTTATGTTGAGATTATGTGGAGGCAGTTCCAATGGATCAAAATATTCTCGTTTCTCATCTCGACCAATGTAAATATAGGCACAGTGGTTACCATATTTATGACTCGGATCCAGATTGACGATGTACAATTGTTCTTTTGCATGATCAGGTAGTTGATCATCTAACATACATATTATCTAATATTTGAATGAGGCTAATTCATTTTGCCACAACTAAATATAATAAATGAATGACTTACTGTCTGTACATCCATTTTCAAGTCTTTCAGTGTTTGTCTGCAATTTTTATTTGGCATGAGACTTTGAGACTGTCGTCAAACACTGGGTCTCTATTTTTTTATTACTATATTTTCACCGGTAACTAAAATGTTTACCAGAGAAATAGAATCGTGATCTCGAATTTGAATTTTTACTTCTTTAGCAAAATTCTGATTGTTATTGTGAGTTGAAACAAGATAAATGATTAATACTTTAATTTTTTCTCCTACTCTTCACCACAAATTAATAACTATGCATGCAGCCAGACTCAGAAAGTAATAATAAAAAATAACAAGTTTAAAGTCACAAAAGCACATTTATTAATACATATTTTGGCACACTAACATAAATTTAAGTTCGCGTGTTTTGTAGAATAGTGGTTAGTTTTACTTTTTTCTCACTAGATGGGGTATGATATTTGTTTATATTTATAATGATTGGTAATGGTATCTCTATATATCATTAAATCGTAATTTGAATTTATGGTAAGCTTCATTATAATGTTCATTATTTTTCTGAAGGATATAGTAAATAATAATAACAGTTAAGCTATTTTTTGGTTGTAGTGAATACTGTAATATTTATACTTATCTTGAGTTCAACCTCTAGAGCTCTATTAGTATATATATATATACATATTTTGTGTATTACGTATTAGTAAGTAGGGCTGATAAATAAATTAGATTAACCTTGCACATGCTCTAATCGATATTCAGATTTTGTGCGACGACCTATTGCAAAGACAGTTTCCTTCGATATTTCAGTAAATACTAAAATTCAATAAAATACATCTCCAATACAAATAAATTTACGCACCTGTTTTGATAACGTTTTTGCGACGAAACAAGTGGTCTGAAACTTAGTTAAATCTAAGTGTTAAATATTGTTATACAGTGATACGTGACATATTAGCCCTAGTACCAGTAGAACTAATACTAGTAAAAGGTCATATGTCAAAACTTGAATTACCATGTTTGTTTTGTGTGCGTACACTGGGCAGTATTTTACATTTGAAAAGTAAGATTTTTTTCCGATAAAAGCATAACTGAAATTGATATTTCACAGTTATTAAACATTTACCAAACAAAAGCGACTTAAATCTGTTGTAACTGTCTTGTAATTGTACAGTATACTGAGGTGTGTTATCATATTGAATTTATTTCTTTTGAAAATTTATTATGTATTATTACTTACAACTTTAGGTAATTCATTAATTAATGATAAAATATAGAGATAAATGATGTGTAATACAAGAATTAATAGCATGGCATCTCATTAGTAGGGTGACCAGGCTTCCAATCCAAAAAACTGGAACAGCTCAACCCTTACCCATAATTTCAAAATGGTTATTTCAGATTTGAAATAACTTTAATTTAATTTACTTTAAACTTATTGAACTGTTCCACACTATTTCCCAAAATATTAACATTGGAATTGTTTTAGAAATAATTTCAGTTACTTTTTTGGGGTGATAGACCCACATTCACCAACTGCTATAGGTCTATATACTAAAGTACTACTAACTAAAAACCTAGGGAAAACCTGTGTTTCTCACTGTGTATAGACAGAACTTTTGAGAGAGTTTGGCAGCAGGAGGTTACATAATACAACAATGAGCAAGTCAGCTAGGCCTATTACATTCTTAATTTGATGTGACTGACAGTTTGATGTCTTTATCATAAAACTGGGATGTTTTGTGCAACCCAATAACTTTTCTGGGGACACTGGACCAAACTACTAAAAAATTGGACTGTCCCGTAAAAACTGGGATGTCTAGTCACCCTACTCATTAGTCAACCAAGTATATGTAAGTATGAACAGAAAGTTTACATTTCTTCTATTTTATACTAAATTATAAACACAACTATTAACCCTCTCAAAGGTTTGCATTCTACTTCAGTTTGTGTTACTCAGCACAGTTCGAGTCAGAGTACTTGTAATACATTGTACCTTCCTAGTGGTGTAGTGCAAAATTTTTTAGTACTAGAGCTCCATCAAAAAATCTCACCATTAGGTAAAGGTGACATATTCAAAATCTAATTTCCATTTTTGTTGGGTTATTTTAAATAAAGAAAATACATGCAGTACTGATTATTTCAAATTGCATATGTTAATAGTGAATTGAATATTCTTATATTACTGAGAGAAAACATGCAACTTTACTTCCTTTAAATTAAGCTACAAGGAAAATTAAAACAACTCGGTACCATATATACAATACTTTTAGTCTCATTCAGCTTAAGTTTCAGCAGCAATAGTCTAAATATTATGAACAACTTTGATATTTATAATGCTTTGCACGCCTTCTGTTTGCCAACACGATTAAATAAAATAAAGTGACCTTCATTCTATATCATGTAAATAATAAGAAAGTGGTGACTAATGTAGCTACTATACATGTACATCTGATGAACATTACATTTCACTATGTCACTAAATGAATATTACAACTCAACTTGGTCAATGGAGGGGACTACAGTGTTGCAGGATGATTCTTGTCTACTAGATTCATTTGACAGTGCAAATCCTGCACCTTGGATAGAGCAATTCTCAATCAAAACCAAAATAAGTATTTCACGTGTGCCATATGAAAAATCTCACACAATCAAAAGCTTCTCATAAGTTTGAATTTGCAGATCCTTGTTGAACAAACTCCTTTTTTGACAAAAGAGAAATTTGAAATTTAGATGAATTGGAGAAGATCCTGCTGTAAACTGATTAGATACGTTATTACATGAGTGAGAAGAAAATGTTAAGCCACTGAATGCTATGTATACTAATAAGTTTAAGTTAGGGACAAGCCAATCAACATACAGTGTGAGCTGTGATGATACTCTAGTACAGTACTAAACATTAGGCAATTTATGTTGTTAGCAGTGATATAATTAAACTGCAAAACAAATACTGTGACATGATTCACTACAGAAGTAGATTGAGATTTTGTCCATTTTTATATATTGTCTTTGGTATAATTCATTAGACTTTATTTTCAGTATGTATGTGTGTGTGAGGGGGGGGGTTGTTTAATTTAAAAATACCATTGAAATTGTGAACAGTAATATGATTTATATGGCTTTAAAAAATTCTGTATAATATTTGGTTTTCAGTATTACTATTAATTATGTGTACTTCACTAATTTGACCAATTTCTTTCATTTAAAAATATCCACATTACATTATATTGTTCTCAAATATTCATTGATTATAAAGTCCAATATTAAAATACTTATGCAAACAAAAGTACAAGACAAATATTTCATTGTTTTTGTGTGCATTATTCCTTAAGGAGGATGTGGTCACTGGCAAGTGAAGACAATTCAAATAAAGATGATTGTGATGCACCTTGTGTTCGATCAAAGCATGCTGTGTGCTTGACTGAAGAAGGACTGTTTTATTTACTGGGGGGACTTTCAGGGAACTTACCATTGAAAGACCTATGGAGGTATGATCCTGGTGAGTGTATACGTTAAAGACAGCTAGCTATGTAGGAGATTTAAACACATTCAGTTTTTCCTTGAAAACACTTTGCAAGACTGAATTAGATAAATCTTTTTTTCTAACTTGTAATTAATTTTTTAATAAACCTTTAGTCTTATCAATATATGATAAAAAACACACACCATTCTTTGTAAGTAAAACATTTTTTAAAACAAAACTTTAGTTAGGTTTTCTTTGTGATATTCATTTATCTAAACTATGCAAACATATTTCATTATATTCTTGTTAGTTAACCCTACACATTCTATACCAATGCTTTAATATACTTATATGTAAGAACATTATTTCAACAGTTAAGTAAATATTGTAGAACTTTATTTATTTTTGCTTTTCTTTCATTTTACATTTCTTTGGAGAGCAGTTACCTTCCTACAACTGTCTGCAGACAATGAAGGTGATATAGATGTGAGACATTGTGGACTTGACCACCCAAATCTTGATCTCGTACCTTATTTTTATTTTTCTTACATGTTTTTTTTGTTGTTTAAGATGTGAGACTATGGAACAGAGATTAAGACTGGTAGACAGTGTATTCCCACTACTGTGTGGGTCCTATTTCTGCTGTCACCTCCAAACCTCAGGACACATATCTCACATCATAGCCTGTGTCCTGGTGATCTTTTTAATATATGCAGCCTTTCTTTTGTAATTGTTTAGACTTATTATAATAATTAAAATGTTTTAATATGTATTTTATTGGATGTTTGACTAGCAGTTCCCAAACCTAGGGCCTCAAGAGCTATCAGGGTGAGTTACAGAATAATACACAGTAAACATATTTTTATTTAGAAATTATTTAAAAGAGCACATTTAGACTTTGCTGAAATACATTACAACTGTAATTCCTTCTTTCCCAATTGAGCATAGGTCCCAAAAAATTGCATGGCTACTCGGATAGATTGTGAGAGGGAAAAGTTTGAGAACCTCTGCTTTAGACACAAGCTTTCTGATGAATACACTTTTGCACTACAATAAATCGATAAAACATTACATACTTCACAGGTTAATCTTTAAGGACAAAAAACTAAGACATGTACAATCTTTCATATTATGTATTCATGTTTGTATAATGCTAAAACTACCAATTTTCTCTGAATCTATTCATTTCTAAAACAGTGAATAACAATTGAAACATGTAATTAAGATGTGGTTACAGTTTTACTCTGGCACATGATTCTCTCATTTCTTTGCACAATAACTAAAGAATAAGCAAACAGATCTATTTTTCATGTGGAACACTTTGGAGGACATAACTATTAATGAAAATAAACACAGTTGAATGAAAGTAAAAATACATACAAGAGATAGGAGTCTTCCTGTACATGGTTATTCCTGCCCATCACATTAATAACCTTGGCACTCTCAGCTAACTTCAAGATACCTGTAGCATCTCATTTTGTTAGATATAAAGTTAAAAAAGAATAGGAATCGTGTTGTTCATGGCCTTATTGATGGCATTATAAATATGAAAATGTTTGTGTTTTTCAGTAGCAAGAACCACCTTTGATACAAATAATTTTTGTATAAAGCACAAAGAAAACAAAATACCATCTTCAGGGTGAAATGTGATAAAAATACAATGGTGTAGTTATCGATATTAAGGATAACTATTATTCAGTACTAAAATCAACAATTTTAATTGGAGTGATGGGTGCTACATGGACATCTTTGGCAGATGACTATGCCTTGCAGTGGGCGAACACAGTCTAGAATGATGAATGATGAAGATGATGGGTGCTATAATAATTGTCAATATTTTTGTAGTGTAACTTCTTTAAAATGCTACTGTAATTTGAATTTATCTTTTTCCAAATAATGCATGGATTCTTTTCTTTCCATACAATATCAGAAATTTATTTCCATTTTTGAGGTAGATAAATATTTATTTGTTCACATAAACTTAGTAATTTTACAAGTACTGTTTTAAGGGTTTTCTTTACAATTCTTAACCAGCTCACCTGAAACTTGTGTTTGGAAAAGGTTTTGTCTAATTTTTCAGTTAAGTTTCTTCATGTAGTATGCAAGTATATTTTCTTAACATTTTCTTAACTGTAAGTAGTTAAACTTTTTAATGTTTTTAACAACTAATACAAATAAACAATGGCACATTATACTGTAATAGAATCTGAAAATTAAGAATGAAATTGCACTGACACAAGTTACATTTAATGTGACACATAAAGGAAGAACGTTATGTTGGGTTTTTCAAAAGTTGTCTCATTTTACAATTTATATACCACTTCTAATGTAGAAGTAACTTAGTTTTGATATTGAAATTAATTTCTAATTTTAGTTCAAAACCAGTGGAAAGAAGTCCATTATAATGAACATGGTCCTCCTTTTCTTCAGGAGCACACAATGGTTTCATGGAAGGTATACATTTCTTTTTTAAATATGTTATACTTGTTTATTTACCAGAACTTGAAATTTTTGTAAGCTCCTGTATTTAAAGAAGAACAGCAATGTTTGTTATGTTTTTTATTACTTATTTCATACTTGTCCATGATTATATTCATGAGGTACTGTTGGATAGGTATATTAGATTGTGTACTGGCTAACCACTAGACACAGTCTGTTGGTGGACACAATTTAGGAGTGGCAATGATACAGCTAAGATGCATTACCACAATATAAAAATATATGCTTTAGTGAAAGTTTTTGAAAATTAGTCAAACAAATCCATAAAAGCATGAGGTCATTTAATGTTTTAATCTTTATCTTTTTTTCTTGTTGAAATTATTTTTTAAGAGTTGTCCATGCTTAATAATATTATTTTTCTTGAACAATTTATAAGACATTAATCTGCCTGTTCTTTTGAGTTTCATTTATTACCTCATAAAATAAACGTACATACCTATTGTTCATTTTGATAAACATGTCATATAAACTTGTTTCAAATCCTGTTTTTTGGTCAACTTTTCTATTATAATGTTTTTTGTCTTAGAATGAAGGCAGGATTTTTATGGTAAAGGTAAATATTTATTTGAATTTAATTTCAAAAATGAAAATGTTTTGAATATTAAATCTTACATCTTTCATAATACTTAATTAGAATCTCTAGCTGTATATAAAGGTATGACCAGAGGAAGCACAAATGTACCTTATCACTCCTGTGAAGGTAGAGCAGCCCAAGGTCAAGTAAAATTTACTGTGGAAAGAAACTTGCATTATGGTAATCAAGGTAATATGTCAGATGTATGGTCAAACTTTGATGACTGTCTGTAAGAAGATGCTGAGGAATGGAAGTTGGTTGGATCTCTAGGAAGACCAATAAATGCCACAGCCAACTTATGATAACAGACCTGGTAACCTAAGATCTGATATTAAAGGATACTTTCCAAACAAAATACTTATTAAGATCCAAATTTTTTCTTTAAGAAAACAACTCTGATAAATGGCATTCCCAGGCATTCAACATTAAAGTGGTATGTGGTAAGAGTCCACAAATTATTAACATGGAAAGATATTCAGCAGTACACAATATTGAAGAGTCAGCATGATCAGTTGACTTCGTTTCACTTAGAAGTGAAGGGCAGTGGGTCGAATACTGATGACTCATTCTTTCCTTCAAAAGCAAAGGTTTACAGCTGACACTTTGCCAGAATGTTATTGCTGCTCTGGGCAGGAATCTGTTGATTTTGATAACATCCAATAACAAGAATAAATAGCAATCCACAACATTTAGTGTGTTGTACTATGCTGTTGTGGTATGTGAATATACTGTGCTTTTCTGCTTTCCTGTTGTATTATAATATTTATTTTTTGTTTTCTATATGTGCAATTTTCATTTAATCTGTGGTCAAAAAAGTAGTTAAGTTGATTTTGCTGCAGCTGCCTTTGTTCCTATGTTATTCTAAAGTGGATGATACCTGTTCTTCCTTGGGAAATATTGCTGCATTACTACAAATTGTGCCAGTTGTTGACAGCAATGTCCTCCAATGGTCAGTTAGGTGATATCTAGAGGCTACAGTGTCACCTATATTGTAATGAGAATTACCAGTGTGTAAATGTGCACTGTGTAAATGTGATGTTTTCTGCAAAATAAAGAATATTGGATTTAAACTATTGGGAATAGGATTTTGAAAGAGAAGCAGTTGAAAGAATCCAGTAAAAGTGACAGTCTCATTGAGTAAAAGCAAGTTCACACACTATTTTTGTGTTTAGTTTTATAATAAAAATTGTTCATTTTGCATTTCACTTTGTGTCCAATCTCATTATTCTATTTAACATTGCATCTCAGTCAGGGATGGGGGTGAATACTGGAGATCAGTAATCGAATACAAATATGAATACCTCATATTTTTATGAATATGAAAATGAATACAGGAAAAATGCTTGATGTTCGAATACGATTACATAGGATTGTATTCATGAATACTTTGTCAGGTAATATGCAATAATGATAAAACAGCAGATGATAAGATTTCAATACTTTTATTTTATGAAACTGAAACAAATAAAATTTGAACAAATAAAAACATTTCATTTCTGTTATTTTTCAAAATGCAATAACAAAGTTTTAGATCAAATAACATAATTTTAAAGGAGACTTATAGATATTATAACTGCCAATTGCTCTTTATGAACATCAGTCTCTTAAATGTCTTGTCAGTGATGTGGCAGCAATCAGGTCTGAGGGTTTTGCCCCCGATGCTAAACAAATGCTCAATGGGGGCAGAGGATTCTGAAACACTCAGGTAGTGTTTGGCTAGTAGAGATAGGGTAGTAAAGTTTTTCTAATGGATCTTCCAATAATATAGAGGGTTGCCTTCTTCAGGAATCCAAGGACCATGAAGGTAGGTGTTGATCTCTGTATTCTCTGAAGATGAGGTGGCTGGTTTCTTGGAGGCAGCAAAGAAACTAAAGACGTCACTTCTTTTGTGAGGGAGGGATTTATAGTCCTCTTTTGGTTCCATGGTTATATGATTATTTGTTGAGGAAACTTTCTTGACCTCTTGCTGCAGGAGTATTCAATTGGATTCATAGACCATAGGTCTAATGAAATGCCAGTCAAGTTTATATCTGGGATCCAATGCCATCGCCAATCAGAAGACACTTTGTTGCTCCTACTGAGTGAGCTGGGCATGAACATATTTCTTCAGTGCAAAGACAAAATTGAAATTATATTGGACTGCATGCTGTCAATGTCAGTCATCAGCCCATAAACACATAGCACTACATAACTGAAGGTAACAATGTTTTGACCTTGGGTGAAGTCTGTTGCCTCTTCCAAAGGTGTCAGTATTGTCACCAAATCTGCAAGCACAGTTCGATCATGAAAAATAAGTTTTGATATACTAGTATCTAGATTATACAACTTCTCCTGAGGAATTTTGGATAAAGACTTAAACATCGTCATTTCTGAGTTCCATTGTGTAAGTGTTACTGACTGAACTCTGGCCTCTTCCTCAAGTAGATCAGTTGCTTGTATTGATTTTCAAATGTAGGTTGCAGTGGCTGATGCTTTGGAAATTACTTTCAGCAATGGTCTAGCTTTCATGCCACTGACCACAAGCTGTAGCATGTGAAAAAACAGAGGTCGGGTTCAGGAAGAAATTTGGATAAATTGTCTGCTAATTTAGATTCATCCAAAAGTTCATCTTCTGAGTCACAGTCTGTAGATGAGCTATCACCATCTCTCACACTACGTAGTATTTGTGGTTCAAACCCAGGTAAGCAGAAAGCTTTGATGATGTTAGATGTGTTATCAGATGTCACATATGACACCTTATTGTTGATTTCAAAGTTTTTATTATTTCATCATATTGATCTGCAATGTTATCAGGTGTGTGATGCCCCTTGAAATGCCAACATTCCAGCATGACTGTTTGCATTTTCCAGTCAACTATGAAATGACTAGATACTCCAAGAAAGCTGCATATTTGTCTGCTACTCCTAATATCCATAGTGACATTAATGTTGAGTACAAGTTGCAGTATAGAGATGAATTTTTGTTGGACTTCATCAAACCTACTTTCAATCAACAATGTGGACATATGCTTGTGACTGGGAAGAATATACCAAGAATCCATAGCTGCCATTAGATCTTGAAAATCGTTTGACTCCACCACTGAGAAGGGTTGCAGTGTACCAGCAATAAAATTGACAAGTTTGTTAGTGATGTGCTTTTGACAAGAGTGTGAGGACTTATATTTAGTTGAATCTGTACAGTACGCTGCTATTGTAGGCTACTGCACCTGTGTGGAAGTACCAGAGCCAGATGTAGACTTTTGTAGCTCTGCTTCATGATTGCATTAGAAATACAAATGCATATCTCAATTATATAATATAGAATAATACAGTTTATAATAGAAAACATAGAAATAAGTAAGAATAATGAATATAGTTCAAAACATGAGAAACTTAGTTTAACTACAGAATATAATTTATAATAAAAATATATCATAACAAATAAATATCTGTTGTACGATATAGGATATAGTTTATAATAAAAACATGCTATACTAAATAAATGAAAATAATAAAAAGTAAAGTGTAATACGCATGAGAAATTTAGTTGAACTATATTATATTGTATAATTTATATAGAATAGAATTCATATTAACAAAAATAATAGAAAGATTCTCAGTTAGTAAGAGTTTTAGCTTTATTTCGTAATTAATATCTTGACCAACTCTCCAGTTATTAAGCAGATATATCTGATAGTTCAAACATTAACTCAGTTTTACCTGAATCTAACATGCTGTCAAAGAGGTCTGTATACAAGGGAAATCAGTAGTGAAACCCATAAACAGTCCATTTTCAGTAAATATTGTGACTCCTACATTGTTAACTACCAGATAAGTGGTTGATAAATTATCGAGAATATGAAATTGTTTAAGGAAACTATTTTATGCTCAACGAAATTTAAGAGGTAAAAATTGGTGAAAATACAAAGATACATCTTAGCATGTAAGTGAAGATGTAATTAAATGGGTGAATGCAAAGAAATAACAGTAAGAATGTTTAAGAAAGAAACTTGAAAAAGTTAAAGTTTAGGTGATGTGAAGGTGTGTCTAGATGTCCACATTTCCAGCTAAAGGATTAAATAGGATTTGAGCAATCACCTCTAAGAAACTGTCAGACAAAGTATCTGATGAGAAGAAACTTGGAATACATAAAAGGAGCATAAAAGCTGAAGTCATAAGTAAGAAATGTCACTGTTTTTTTTTTTATGAGGTGATTGAAGATAGAAGTATCAGTTTAATGAATGGAATACTAATTAACTAATACATCAGATGTGAAAATTCCAATGTAAAAAATATATACACCAGAACTTTTGAGGAAGATGAGGAATAGGTGGCCTTGAGGTCGCTTTTGGATCCTAAGTATGGCAAAGACTTGCAAACACACCTATTGAAAATTAACAGGG